CTCAGCTTTACCTAATATGTTCTTAATGTTACCACCTCTCCATGGTATTATACATTTTTTTATGCCGATGCATTTAAGGTGTCTTTTGTCGTTGTTATGTGTACAAAAGTGTTTGGAGACTGAGTGATTCAGGTAGCCTTTTTTGATATTTCTACAGTGTTCACTCAGTCTCACTTTAAGACTTCTTGTGGTCATCCCTACATACTGGAGACCACAAGGGCACTCCAACAAGTAGATGACATTTTTGGTATTGCAACTGATAAAATCTTTAATTTTATAGGTTTTGTTGGTGATATTAGATTTAAAACTGTTGGTTTTGGAAGGGACGTAGGGGTCTGTGTTTTTGCATACAATGCATCTTTTACATTTATAAAAGCCACTGGCATTGGGCATAAAAGAATTAAAAGTAGGTTTGGTTTCTTTTGTAAAATTGGTGGTTAAAATGGATTTGAAGTTTGGGGCACCTCTAAAGATAACATTAGGCTTGTCAGGTATAATATTTTTAAGTATTTCGTCTTCTTTTAAGAGGTGCCAATGTTTTTTGATAATTTTTTTGACATGGCCACTTTTGTTATTAAAATTGAAAATAACAGGAAGGGGCATGGTGTTGGTGGTGGGTTGGGTATTGTAAGTTAGGAGGTCTGCTCTATCTTTTTTGGTGATGGTATTTATAATGGTGTTGAGGCTGGTTGGTGAGTAATTTTTCTCAATAAATTTTTCTTTTAGATAATTTGATTGTTTGTTAAAATCTTCTATTTGGGAGCAATTCCTTCTGAGACAAAGGAATTGGCTTTGAGGGGCACTTTCCAACCAAGGTTTGTAATGGCAGCTAGATCTTTCGATAGCTGTGTTGACGCAGACTTTTTAAAAAAATGTTTTGGTGTGGATGGTGAAAGAGAAAGGCTAGACAGACCGTAAACCCTTCAAACACTTCCTACAACGGTATTTTTAATCTGTCCAACAAAATCTTATCCGCCACCCAAATATCCGTCCTTAATAAAGGTATGAAATTTGCACCGACTAACCCTTTTAAATCTTTCGAAGCCTTTTTAGACATCAACAAATTTGTTCGCAAAGCTACACTAAAGAGATTTTTTAATGACAAATTACCCACCACAACCAACTCTCCACCCCCCATGCCTAGTATCAATAACCCCAATAACATCAACACTCATTTGAAAGAAAAATCCAAATTTTACCCTTCCTACTGCAAATCTGCACCCCTCATCATGTTCGAAAAACTTGTGTTAAAAGACTTTGAAAAAATTAAATTTAACAAATATGACTCACACAACCTCACCCATGCCGAGCGCAACACACTGAAACAACTACAAGAAGACAAAGATATTGTCATAAAGCCGGCAGATAAAGGAGGTGGGATCGTTATCCTATCTAGCAAGATGTACATAGACGAGGCACATAGACAACTACATGATACAGAAACATATAACAAACTACCCCCTGACCCCACCCCTACCATCCAAATCACCCTATCCACTTTTTTACAAAAAGGCTTGGATTCTGGCATCCTAACCAAAAACGAATACAACTATCTTAACATCAAATACCCTAAACTCCCTGTCATATACTTTTTACCAAAGATACATAAAAATATTAATAACCCCCCTGGCAGACCCATCGTGTCAGGGATAAATTCCCTACTCTGCAATCTGTCAGAATACATTGACATACTCCTCCAACCATCCGTTAAATTAATGCGCTCTTACCTAAAAGACTCTATGTCACTACTACGTTTTTAGACAAATTCAAATGGCAAACTAATTACATTTTAGCTACTTGTGATGTCCAATCCCTATACACGATTATACCCCACCATATAGGATGCCAGGCAATCAGAGAAATTTTAACTAAAGAAAACAGAATCCCCCATGCCCAAATAGATTTTATTTTAGAAGGTATTAATATCATTTTAACCAACAACTATTTTTTGTTTTTTGACTCCTTTTACCTACAAAAACAAGGCACTGCGATGGATACAAGGTTCGCGCCAAGCTATGCCAACCTCTTTATGGCCGACTGGGAATCCACGGCCATATGGGGAAGGCACGCTTGGTGTACGAACCTTGTAACATATTTTAGATATATAGACGATTTGTTTTTTATCTGGGATGGCACAGAAGCTCTTTTTAACTCTTTTATCCACCACCTCAACATCAACAATAGAGGCATTACCCTAACCCATGAAACAAGTAAGGAATCTATTAATTTTTTAGACCTCAACATCTTCATTACAGACAACACCATCCACACCAAAACATTTTTTTAAAAAGTCTGCGTCAACACAGCTATCGAAAGATCTAGCTGCCATTACAAACCTTGGTTGGAAAGTGCCCCTCAAAGCCAATTCCTTCGTCTCAGAAGGAATTGCTCCCAAATAGAAGATTTTAACAAACAATCAAATTATCTAAAAGAAAAATTTATTGAGAAAAATTACTCACCAACCCGCCTCAACACCACTATAAATACCATCACCAAAAAAGATAGAGCAGACCTCCTAACTTACAATACCCAACCCACCACCAACACCATGCCCCTTCCTGTTATTTTCAATTTTAATAACAAAAGTGGCCATGTCAAAAAAATTATCAAAAAACATTGGCACCTCTTAAAAGAAGACGAAATACTTAAAAATATTATACCTGACAAGCCTAATGTTGTCTTTAGAGGTGCCCCAAACTTCAAATCCATTTTAACCACCAATTTTACAAAAGAAACCAAACCTACTTTTAATTCTTTTATGCCCAATGCCAGTGGCTTTTATAAATGTAAAAGATGCATTGTATGCAAAAACACAGACCCCTCCGTCCCTTCCAAAACCACCAGTTAAATCTAATATCACCAACAAAACCTATAAAATTAAAGATTTTATCAGTTGCAATACCAAAAATGTCATCTACTTGTTGGAGTGCCCTTGTGGTCTCCAGTATGTAGGGATGACCACAAGAAGTCTTAAAGTGAGACTGAGTGAACACTGTAGAAATATCAAAAAAGGCTACCTGAATCACTCAGTCTCCAAACACTTTTGTACACATAACAACGACATAAGACACCTTAAATGCATCGGCATAAAAAAATGTATAATACCATGGAGAGGTGGTAACATTAAGAACATATTAGGTAAAGCTGAGATGGAATGGGTTTTTAATCTCAAAACTCTTACCCCATCTGGTTTAAATGTTGATTTTGACTTGTTTAATTTTATTTAAATTCCTATATACAACCCTTATCTACATGCTTTTATTCTTTATGTCTGGACCTAACCAACCCTCATAATAATAATAATCTTTTAAGTTTTATTTTTTCATCTATGCCTTTCCATTTATGTATCTTGTATTCTGTGTAATCTTTTATTTAATTTTATTTTTATTTTATCTATTATTTTCATTTAACATCTGTATTATTACTCTGGGGTATAATATAACCCCTATTTAAATCATTATGTTTGGAATTATATTACCCCCTTTTCATGCATACTCCATTTACATATATCTCTGTATCTCTGTACCTTTAAACCATCTATTTTTTTTTTGTTCTTTTAATGAACTTTAATCAAACCCTTTTTTTTTTGTTCTTTTAATGAACTTTAATCAAACCCTTTTTTTTTGTTCTTTTAATGAACTTTAATCAAACTTTTTTTTTTTTGAACTTTAATCAAACAACTTTTTTTTTCTTCCTTTCTTTCTCTTTAAAAACAACTTTCTCACTCTAGTTTTCACATTTAAATAATTTAAATGGACTCATCACCTTTATAACATCACTCCCATACTCTTGAATCCTAATTTTGAAAAGTGATTTTAAAAATTGTCTCTGATTGGCCAATTACACTTTTGGCGCAATTTTCAAATTAACATAGCCCTATTTAAACAACCCCTGCCAGGTTACTACTTTTATCCCATTCTGAAGAAGCCACTTATGGTGAAACGCGTTTATGGTTATTAATTCTGTATTTTACTGTGTATTTTAGATCAATAAAAGTTTTTTGGCTACTTTATTGTACCAATCCTCTTTTTATTGCACTCTTTATGCACTTTAAACAACTTTTGTTTTTACCTATTCCTGGCATTTTAACCTTTCCTGGTTACTTTTACTTCCATTGGCAATTTTAAAGTTCCAGTACTCCAAGAAATCCTAGGTGGGGATCATACCACCGGCGCCTATCCATAGAGCAGTACCTCTGCTCTATCTTTGTGAGTATTATTTTATTTTCTCTACTACTCTCTTAACCTATCACAATTGAGAGCACTATTGCTGCTTTTTATTCTTCTATATTGGAGCCTTGGATCACCAGACGGTGCTGACGGACGTATCGCCGCTACATATCCTATAAGCGGGGATTATACCGCTGTACGCTATCCACACCAGAGCTGGCCATAGCTCCCTCAAATGTGAGTTTTTTACCTCTTCTTATCTGCACATTGAACCACATCAAAATTGAGAGCACTATTGTTGCTTTCTGTCTTTCTTTTTCGAGCTCTGGACTACCAGACGGTGCTGACGGAGACC